CTTATGCCAAAGAAAGTACAACCCATTCATTAGAAATCTTTAATCTCATTTATTTCCCTTAGTAATAAATCACATCATAATACTAAATCAACCAACCTGTTTCAAATATTACATCAAACTCTTACACCTGCAACATGATTAATGTCTCCAAATCCCGTGAATGAAACCAAAGTGTGATTTATCTGGATTGTTTCAAATGAATTCAGACTTTATTTAAAAGAAAGTCGGATAGGAGACGGGAGAAAAAGTAGAAGAAAATAACTTAGGAAAGTGAAATTAGAGTCGACTGATGGAGAAAGCAGAAAGGGGAATTACGGACGTTCTTTAGAAATATAAAATAAGATTGTTAATGACACCGTTCAACCGGAGAGGAATGAGCACGCCCTGGGCAGTGGCTAGCAACCGCCTGCAGCTCCATGCTATAGGAGCAATATTTCTAGCTTGGGTCCACCAACTGAATCACACAGGATGCAGAATTAAGTTGAAACAAAAATCCAATATTATTCTCTGCCGATTTAATGAATAAATCTATCTATAATTTCATCATCAGCACAAAACAAAAGGGAAAAGTTAGCCCAGGCAATTCCACTGGCAGTAAACTAACGCATTAAAACTAAGGATGCAATTCCTTGCGTGATACCGTATCAAATCTAGCATCATTTAACAGCTCCGGCTGCATGTTAGATTAATTTCACTTCTGAATGTTTTATGTTATAATATCAGGGTGTGCAAATGTCTAAGGGGCTGTTTGGTTTCCTAAAAAGAAAATGCAGTTTAAAGTAAATACAATGTAAAGTAAATATTGTGCATTCCGAATACTTTGAAACTGTTTGGTTATCTGCAAAATAAACACAGGAGAGCATTATCTTATTATAATTTTTTTATATTATAAGATATAATATTCTGTTGTGTATTAATTTAACAGTGTTCTGCAATAGATGTAAATATACTTATGATAGAGAGAAATTTTAATTTTAAATTTTTTTCTCTTTAAGATGTAGGGTCTTTCTTTCTGATCTTATAATTTTTAAAATGCTTATCCATAAGTAGGGTCTTACTCTTTGATCTTATAATTTTTAAAATGCGTATCCATAAGAAATAGGGTCTTAATCTCTGATCTTGTAATTTTTTAAAATGTTTATCTTTTATAATGTTAAGAGATGATACATTCTAGACAAAGACATATAAAATTACAAGATGTTTTTACATTCAACATATATTGATGGATGCTCTGCCAATGGCAGCTTGTGAGATCGGATGAGTAAGGCAAAAACTTTTTCAATGATTTCTCTTACCTGTTTTTATTGTTTTGTCTATTTTTTTTCATTTGCGTAAATCTCTATGCTCTCTAATGATTTTTTAGATTTAAAACTGGCAATAGCAATCAAAATTATTAAACGTTAATGGATTACAGAAGGAAAATCATCTAAAGTAATAAATTTGGCTTAATATTTGTCGCATTTTTAATGAACATAAATAATAATTTATCTCTTCTTCTACATCTGCATAGTCGTATTTCAATTTCATAACGGAGAAAAGGATGAAGCAATGATCGAAACAAATTGATAATTTTCTCTGAGTGCTCTTCAAAAGACTGGAATTGATTTAAACTTTGAACCAAAATTTGAATAAGCTAAGATAATCTGATTGAGGAAAATTAATGATTAAAGTAAGCCGGCAGCTAGGCATCTGGAAGATGAATAACTTGAGACGTATCAGAAAATGCAAACAATATGAAAAAGAAGTACAAAATAAAAAAAAGAAGATGAAAGTTTAGAGAAGGTTGGTCTAGTATATTTCAATGAAATCTTCTTGAAGAAAGGCTTTAGACACTTAAACCCAACAACCCACAATTTTTTTACTTCTTAAAGAAGGAAATGGCATTAATTGATAACTTAGAGAAAATATTTTTAGAGACCTTCCATCACATTGCTTTCACATTAATGGAATGGAACAAGATGCACAAAAA